CCTTCAGCATCTGTGACATGGCTTGGAGGCTCATCACTGTGCCAGTGGCAAAAAGAATGATTAATCCAATGGTCAACAGGAGGCCGAAGACCAGGGCGCAGATATTCAGGCACTTGGCGGTGGAGGCGTAGCCCTGGGCCCCCGTCACGTCGCCCACCATCTTCCGGTCCCTAGACTGGGGGAGAAGAGATGTTGAGGGGCCAGGGAGGGACCTGCTGGGAGCCAGGAGCTGACGGTGGCACTCGGGTCCCCCCTGGTCCTCTGTCCTCAGTGTGGCCTGCACTCACCCACATTGGAAGGACCCCCCTCTCCCTGGAGCCCAAGTGGGGCATTTCCTGTCCCCTCCCTGCTGGACTGCCTCACAACCCTACTGGCACCTAGAAACCCTGGGCTCCCTCCCTCTGCTGTGGTCCCAGTGCTGTGCCACTCCCCTCCCCAGGTCCCCAAGTGAGTGCACTTTGTTTTCTGAGCCAGCCTGGGAGCTTGCGGGATGCATTTCTCTATTAGGCTGGGATAAAAGAAGGATTCCTTGGGGGCCATGCACTTCCTGTGCTAGCAGGGAAATGCCACTGAGCTGCTGATAAATTGCAATGGATTGCTTATACCACCTTTCCAGCCACAGACTTGTAACTCCCACTCAAAGACTGAGTGGGACTGTGCAATGAGGTGCTTGTGGCCCACCAAAGGAATCAGACAGCTTGCTAATAATGCAGATAAGGTGCCTGGCATCCTTGTGGGACCAGGTAAGTAAGGTGCGTGGCATCTGAACGAAGGGGTTGAGTGGTCAGTTTTGCCATCCCACCTGGCTTAAAAGGAGCCAATCGGAAGCAGAAAGGGGGGACCTCACTACCACCACCACGAAGAGATAGGAGTGAAGTGCCTCCTTTGATGTGGAGTCTCTGTACTGAGAACCTCCTAGACCCAGGACATGGAGAAAGAGAGAGAACTGTAACCCCAGAGATGGTGCGAGATGATGAGAAGCAGGGACGGAGAAACAGCGGCAGCAGGACCCGGAGACCGACACAAGGCAGTGTGGCCCAATTACAGTGGGTGTGCCATCCCACAGAGCTAGAAAGCTTAGTGGCTTCAGGCTGTGGCTTGTTGGTGGAGTGAGGTGCCCCCAGTCACTGCCTCAGCAGGGCAGTGGCCAGACCAAGGCCCGAGGGCCAGAGAGAGGCCTGCCTTTGGACACTGCTGAGAAGAGGATGCAGTGACTGAAGATCTGTATCCCGAGGAGCTCTGGGGGCGCAGTGCCTAAGGTATCTGATTGCTAGCCAGGAGGCTAGCTGTTCAAACCCACCAGCCACTCCTCAGAAGGAAGATTGGGCAATCTACTTCCATAGAGATAGTGCCTCAGAAACCCAAGGAGGGGGTCGCTGAGTCCAATTGACTGGTCGGCAGTGAGTTTGGTGTATTTTTTTTTTTTTTTTAATCCTGAGTCGAATCTGACCTTGAATTGTAACCTGTTATTTCTCTAAATAAGTAAATAAACTGCTCACTGGGAATATGGTGTTTGAGTTCTGTGTGATCGTTGCCACTACTGAATACTGCAGAGAAGTAGAGAGCGCTACCTGGTGGCAGAATTGGCGAAAGACAAAGTGTGGAGAGAGCAGATGTGCCTAATCTCTACCTCGTAGGACTGAGCCTTGGGCTCTTCCCCCTTGTGAAGTTAGAGGAGATCAGACAGCCCACCATACCGTTTCACAGCTGACCACAGCCATCCCTGGGCTCACCCTGCAGTATCATCATGGACCTATGCTAGAATGGAGTCCCCAAGCCACAGACACACAAGAAAGAGATAGACATCCACATGCCCACACAGGAGACATGTGCACACACAAGCAACAGAGAGACATACATGAGAGAAATACGCACACACATGCACGTGTGCAAACACACACACACATATACCAGGACACACACTGGCCCTTGCTGGCCCAGGCCTGTGTGGGTAGAGGGCCCCCCAGTGTGCACTCACACCTTCATGGAGAATCCACCACGTCCCAGTACACGCACCTTCACGGAGTAGGCGAAAGCTACGAACCCCAGGCAACACCAGTTCATGAAGAGTGTGTTGAAGAGGGACCAGACGACATGGTCGGGCACTGAGGTCTCACTGCGGATGTTGATCACGGTGGAGGTCATGGGTGCAGCGTTGTAGGGAGCCCCCAGGACAGCCACCTCGTGCTCCTCTTTGCCCATCTCCTGGGTTTCGGGGAAGCCAGCGAGCGTAAACAAGGGTTGGGAAGTGTGCTTCGTGATGCTGAGACCAGTAACTAATGAGATCCGGATGCTGGCTCCAGGACCCTCCCTTCCTGAGCTAGTTTGGAGTTTTCCAAAGTTTCTATTTCCTGGTGTTTTGTAATTTAACAAATTGGCCAGGGACTCTGGAGGGCAGGGCAAATTCTTGAGGGTCAGATTACTCCAGGGCTGGGTGGGAGGGAGGGTTGAGGGCTGTAGGGGGACTGTTGGGTCAGGAAGTGGCTCAGCTGCCTCCAGCTCTCCCTTTAAGGTGTGGGTGGGCCCTGGGGACGTTTTGCTGGACTGGGGGTGTTGTGCCCAGGTTATGAAGGAGTTGCTCGGCGAGAGAAATATGCCAACACACGACAATGCAAAAGCAATAGGAGAGTTTATTAGCTAACTTTAAGTTAGGGTCCTTGCCCTTACCAAATCAGTGGCTTGAGCAGAAGACCCTGTGTCCCAGTAATTTCACAAATTTATGGAAAAATATGGGGAGGAGCAGCACCAGGGCGAGAGGGTACAGATGATTGGTTGTTGCTAAGGGATTTAGGGCAGTGATCTAAGATGTTGGGGGACGTAAAGAAAC